AGATACTGTATGTTAAATGGATATATCCGCCTTCTTTCATTTATCTTTCCATTCCCACAACAATATACATAAATAAATGGCATATTTTGGACATAGTTCGAATGGTGATTAATCATGATTAATTAATTTTTAAGCTGTGATTAATCTGATTAAAAAATGTAATCGTTTGACAGCCCTAGTTTTAATATAGCCCAAAACTGCAAATGACCCATTTGTCTCAGGGGGCTTTACATTGTGTGCAGCACACAAGCCCTCTGTCCTTAGACCCCTGCAGCATACAAGCCCTCTGTCCTTAGACCCCTGCAGCATACAAGGACAAACTCCCAAGAAACCACACAAATAACGGATCCCTCTCCCGGGACAGACAGACGTGGTAATAAATCTACAATATAGAACAGTCCAAATGTTGGAAAAGATCATCTGCATAGAAAAAGAAAATGGATCCAATTGAATGTCAACAATCTTCCAGGTTCTGCTATCATGTGATATGATGGAAACCTGTAGAATAGTTACCAAATTGACCTTGAATTTAGTCTTTTTAAAACTATATTTATCATATTTTCTTCAATTTAAAATGACTTTTTGTACAATAATAGGTATCCTTTAGGTACACTTTGAAGAGTACTGTAAGAAAATGTTGTTTCCTTGAATTCAAAGCCAATCTTTTGGGTTTCTTCTGGATGCTAGCCCAGAGCTCAGGTGGTGTTAGCATGTTTGGATCCTCTCTGTCGCTCCACTGTGTGTGACGCAGATCGATGTGACCGTATGACACAGATGTCACTCCAGCGCTGGGACTATTTTTAGGACTTTGTTGTAAACACACTTAGAGATCAATAGATCGACTTTTTTCAATTAGATCCTCCAGTTCAAATGTGGCAGCACAATGAAAAGTGGGCCATGGCAACAGACACGTAAACAGTCAATGTTGTGGCGTCAAAGATAACAGTGTTACTGTGTGGCCTTTCTTTGTTTCAGGTCACGATAAACTGCTGAATTCTGCCTTTTATTCTTTCATTATCACGTGAAGGCTATTCTACAACATATGGATACTATGATCCATAAGGAAACAGATCGGAAAGCCATAATTCTTCTGTGATTTTGAGAGCTACCGTCAGGTGATGCTGAGGTCTGATGTCTTCATGTTCTAGATTTACAGTCCACGTCCTGGCTCGATGTGCGCATAGAGAAGTGGTTTTAATAACGTCCCCTTGAGGATTTTGAACTCAAAGATGATATCCTTCCACCTCCAGATGCGCAGAAGGTCAAAGCCAGATCAAATAGAGGAGAGGAGGTCAGTCAGTTCAGTCTGGGCCGGGAAGAGCACACATGGCAGCCCAACGACCCGCTGTAGGAGGGTGGAGATGAGGTTAGACTGTTTATTTATTCTGGTTCAACTATGTCTTCTTGGTGATATTGGTCATATTCTTGCATTCACATGGCTTCTGGCAGCAGTGTCCTTCTGATGAGCTAGTTCAGAAAACATGTAGCATTACCATAAACACAGAAATATGAACCATTGTGATCCTTGTGCTTAGAGTTTCTCTTGATTCTGCTCAAACTGTAGCTTAAAGCTAAAGGAGAGTTTAGGTTGTATTCATTCAGGTTGATTCTCTTTCTGCTGTACTCTAACAGATGGGTCCACCCAATAATCCATGATGAATATTACACAGCTAAATAAGGGTCAAAACAAGTGACTTTGCATGTTTTAGCCCATTGCCTATAAAACCAAATCAAATAGACAACTTTTATTTTTTAAGGTGTTTTTTTCTACATTCATTTTTATTATACAGGCAATGTCAACTTGTAAAGCTCTGAGACGTGTCTGACATCTTTCAATAGTCAGAAATGCTCATGTCAGCCATCATTTTAACAAGAAGTCAAAACAATTCTGTGTTTTGCAAAATGTGCAAAAATATCTCAGTGTATATATATACTGTCAACAGCAATACAAACATTTTATTTGACTATGTACACAACACTATTTACTATTCTAAGGCTGCTGTTACCTTAACCAAGTTCAAACTGTAGCTTAAGGAGGGTGTAGGTTTCATTTAGTCTTTAGTTTACTACATTTGGGTTAAACCATTTATCCATGATATATATTACACAGCTAAAATGAACATCAAAACCGGTGGCTTTGCATATTGTATCTGATTGCCTATGAAAGACAAACAAACATGAGCAAACCAAGCTTTTAAGTAGTTTTGTACCTTCTGTTTTAGTATACAAGAAAAAAACAACTTGCAAAAACTTGAAACTACTCATATCATTTTTTAATCAAAGCTCTATTTTTGTAGGATGAAGCAGAGAATACATTGGCAAAAGTTCTGTCTTGCAAAGGAGTCAATGGATATCTCTTTGTTTCACTCATTAAACCAGAAGATGCTGTTCATAGCAATGCAGGAAATCAATGTATACATAATTCAGGTTATGAATGATGTATAACCAATCCTCTGTAAAAAAAAATATATATGTCTATGTAAGAGCTATTAAAGTGGAGATTTCTGACTTCAGATTATGAAAAATATTTAAAAAATTGAAAACGGCCTTAATAAATGTATAAACAATACAGGTTAATATGGTTTAAATCACTCTTATATCAAAATTGACATGAAAATCTGTCTTTTGCCTGTAGTTTCTAGCCTCGAGAATACACTTTTAATCAGGGATGATGAGGCATGTTTTAGCCCTCTCCTGAATCAACAGGAAGTGATTGAGAGCACCTGAATATAAATTGACAAGTACCTTCCATCCTGCCAGGTTCTTCACAAAGACATAATGCTGTGAATCTCACCCTGTCTTCATAGTCGCATAATAGCTTCAACGTGTTTCTGTCACACAGTCATGCGAGATCCCCGCTGCACTTTATCAAACCTCTCCAGAGATCTTCCTGTTGCTGTATAAATAGCCGTCAATCGGCCAGCCAAACACATTAAGTTCATGTCTAGACGAGTGTAACGTATCACTCTGTGCCGGCTGATTAGTTGTTGTGCGGCCACACTTTCACTTTGTGTGACTTTGACCTCCTCCTGAGTTATTTTTTTGAGGTAACAATGACACACTTGGATGTTTTGTTTTCCTTCCCCATGGCAGCCTCCTCCACTTTTCACGAGGCACGCACACCCGTCATCTTTTTTCGTAATAGGAAGCGAGTGGTATTTCTGGTAGGAAGCTGCTGTGCCAGTGCAGGGTCCCTGAGGGAAAGGCTGCTGATGAAATTAAACACAAACAAACAAGGAGTATTTCCATTGTGTGGAGGGAAATCTCAGGTTTTCCAGTCAGAGGGAATTCCTTCCTCGGCCCTGCTGGCTCCGGTTCTCAGAGGCCGGATCCAGCCAGGGGTGTTCCCCCTTCCTCTCGCATTTCTCATCCCTGTGAGAGCTGAAACGGGCCTGATCTGAACCTGGAGGCTGATTAGAGAGGCAGGAAATGTGCAGACTATCTCTAAGAGTAATAAATAAGCTCACAGATAAGAACTGTTTTAAAAAATGAGCCTGCTGAATCCCCTTAAGTGTGTAAAGAAAACATGATTTCTCCTTTTTCTCTTGTCAGTACGTGATATTTTGTATTTGTCCTGGTTAGGCTTCAGTTATTCTGCTCTGTTGCTCTTGGATCCCCGCTCTTCCCCCATCAGTCAGCTAGAGAGCACAGCTGATAAAAACAGATAAACAAGTGCACCTGGATCCTTTAGGGACAGCAGGAGGTTGCATCATCTCTCTTGATACAACAAAAAAAGGTCTGGGGAAATCAGATAAACACTGATTCTATTAGGTTGGCTCAGAGGAGTAACAGTGTCTACAGAGCTCAGAGCGTTGTGAGGCATGCTACTTTAAAGCTATCCTTAAATACATATGTTTGTATTACAATAAAATAAATGTGTAATATTTCAGGTTATGGTTTTTTGTGTTACGTTTTGTGACTTTAATGTTTTTCTTCTGACTCACCACTGATCTGATAATCTGATAAACCCACTGTACATTAGCTGCTCGCTAGCAAATGGCTAACCGACAAAGTTAGCGACTAGTTGGTTATCAAAGTCGAAAATTGATCAACTCAAGAACAACATTTGCCCCAAAACAGGAATAACAGGAGAGTAATTATTGGACTTTGGTGTATTTGGTCAGAAACTTCAAACAAATGCTAATGTTCCTCCCTTTCTGCTATATGTGTACATTAGCATCTTTGCTAACATACAAAATCAGCATCGGGTTACACGTTTAATTACAGCTTCTTTTTTTTCATCCAAAGTAAAAGATGTTTTTTTATTCAACATATTGTTGATGGTGATGGTCTATCCCTTTTAATACATATTGAACCTTTTTTCAGTTTAAAAGGCTCAAAATAGTTTGAATATGAAATATGCAATCTATATGACTACAATTGAAAACTCCTGGCTTTCCTTGATCCTAATGAACACACGCCAGGAGATATACATATATACACGTGCCCAAAATATATATATATAGATACACACTCAAGAATTATATGTCAAAAAAAGATAGTAAAGATATATATAAAAAATAAACATCTGACTATTATGTGGTTTGACAATTTAGACAATGTAAACTAAAACCGAATTCAAACATCAGGCCCTATAATTAAAAAAGTCAGTAACTTATAGTATATGAATGTATGTCTATATCTTGTATTGAGTGGTGATTAATCAAAACATATGTATCTGGGTCTGCATGAGGCTTTCTAATAGATTGTATTAGATGTCTGATGCCTTTTCCTGCGAGGAAAGTCTTTCTTGAGAAAATACACAACACTTGTTCAAAGCTTGTTGTGCTTCAGCTGAAAGCTGGTTGAAAAAAACCACAGCTTAAGTTTGGAAACAAATATTGTGTTCATGTCAACCTATCACCAGCTGGAGGTTAATTGAGAACAACTTTCTTTAAGGCCTTAAAAGATTTGTAATGCTACATTGTACTGTACATGCTTAAACCCAGCATGGGGAGGTCATAATGACTCACCATCCTTTCCTCTCTTTTCATCCACAGTCAATGAGATCATCAGGAACGACCTGTCGAGCATCACCGTCCACAGCCACGCGTAGTTTCCCACCAAACTGACACAGGAAACAAAAATAAAGGGAAACACCAAATAATATTTGACATTGTGCTTTTCATGCTTGGACTACAGCGTGCTGGAAGCATCAAAGGAAATGCAAAGAGAACAAATGTAAATGTCCAGATGACCAGGGTCCAACGTGTGCCTTGTTTTTCTTACATAATTATGCCTTTACTCAGAAATTAGCACATGACTGACTTTTTTTGTACATTGAGTATAGCAACCAAACCCGCCACCCCACAGCAACGTATGCTTTAGAGGACCAAAACATTTTGAAATGTCTTTTTTGCTGCAGTTTGTAAATGATTCAGTGCCTATGAGTTACGTTATTTGTATATACAGTATCTGCCATGCTTCAGTTTGCATATCTGGCTTTACAGAGGGACAATTTAAAAGATAAGTGCCTTTTTGACGGGAAAGATGTGGCCTTAGTTTGGCGACACATGTTGAGAACAATTTATAAAGATAATGTTACTTTTCATGAAAAGTCGCGACAAATGGTAAAGTCATATGAAATGATGAAAGAGAGTTTAACAGTAGCACAATAGAGACGAGCCACCAAAAGCCATATTGGTCGTACTAGACCAGGAGCAGCAATGGAACACCACAGTGTATTGATTAAAGGTTACGTTTTATTCATCATATTTTCAACTTTAAACATTTTCTTTCGAAAGCTGCATCCTTTCCCTTTAAATTATATTTGGTTTGCATTATTTGATTGTAAAAATGAGGTTAAGGTTAACACAATTGAATACATTTTGTGTATTTAAACCCAACAATTAGCACTTAACCACTACACCTGTGGTATGGTTTTAATTGTAGTTTATACAGTTACTGTTATTTAATTCACTTAATAACAATTCCTGGTTAAATAAATTGTGTGTAGTCACAGAATATTGAGTTATTTTTACATTTTGACTTAAAAACAACATGATCTCTGGAGAAGTTTGACTTTTCCCTGGAAGCTATGCAATCTGCCTGTAGTCTCTCAAATACATCTCTAATCCAAAGAATACTTAACAATACACAGCAATACAAATATATAAATACTTTAAGGTTTTTGTATTTTCATATTTATTCTTGTAGCATGTGCTCTGTGTCTTCATGTTAATCTTACAGCCTCTTTTACATGGTTACCTACATAATGTGGTTTACCTACTCATTTGTTTGTACTCTTGTAGTAAAACTTAATGGGCTTACACACTTAGTTTCAAGTTTTTATATGTATTTATGAGTCTTAATCCTTGTAACTGAAGCCATACTGATACGTTTACGGAGGGGGTTATTGTAAGTCTACAACTCGTCATTCTGCTTTGTGACCTATTTTGTGTATTTGTCAATAAATAAGCTTCATCTCTTATATCTGAATAATCCGTTTCATATGTAGAGAGAACATAAAACCAATCAATATATACTTTGCGTTGGGGATGTAGGTTATTCTGGAAAGCACAAATAGAGGAAAATAAGCTGGTTATTATTCAGGAAAAAAGCCATGATTGGCTTCATCAGTCATTTCTGAAAATAAATTCTAAGCATTGTGGAAGGTCAAAAGACCCAAATCCAAAAAATGTCCAATTGGACCAAAAGCCCATTTGTCCAACTACCCATTTTCCTGAAAACAAATGTCCATTAGTCTGGCCCATTACTGTACCTCAATCCAAAAAAATTCCCATTCGACCAAAAATGTCATTTGTTCCACTTCCCATAACACTGAAAATATAAACCCATATTCCAATGGCACATTATTTGACCCCAATCTAAAACACAATCCCACTGGAACTGCCCATTTCCCTGAAAACAAACTTACATTTTTCTGATGGTCTATTAATATATCGCTATCTAAAAATGGTCCCATTGGTCTGATGCTCCATTTGTGCAACTGACCAATATAGTAAAAACATAAAACCCATGTGCCAATGGTCCATTATTTGACCCAATTTCTTTTTTAAAAGCCCCGTTGGATCATAACCATATTTGTCCGTCTGCCCGTTATCCTGAAAACAAACAGCCATTATTCTGATGGTGCATTCCCATTATCCAAATGCAAATGTAAATAATTTCCATGGGCCATTACTTGACCACAAACCAAAAAAGTGTCCCGAAGATGCAATGTGCAACTGCCTTTTTAGAATGTACACAAAAACCAGTATCCCTTTGGCCCATTATTTGACCCCAGACAAAAAAACTGACCCATTGGAACGAAAGCCCATTTATCCAACTGGCCATTATCCTGAAAACAAAGGTCCATTATTTCAATGGCCCATTAATGGACCCCAATCTAATAAAAAGGTGTAAGTACATTTTTCCTACAAACATAAGCACATGGCTATTTATGCAGAAGGACATCATCAACGTTTTTCTTTCAATGCCTGGGAGTGGAGATTGGGGTATGAATACATAACAATCGTTTATTTAAAAAAGCACAAATAAGCAAACACAGAGGCTCCGGGAGGCTCACATGGGGAGTGTGTGAGAGAAATGAGAGAGGGGGGAGAATCTCAAAGACCTATCTTCAAGCATCACTGGGCCCAGGTGGATCTCATCAGCCAATGCCGGCCCCACTCTTATTATACATCCATGATGTAGGCCTATGTATCAACCACCCATTTCAGAATTTAAATCCCTTTCATGTTTACCCAAATACAGAGACAGACAATGATAATAACAAACAAATATCCATTTGTTCGTGTGGAAATATCTTCTGCGGGCAGGAGTTTATGTTAAAGGCCTATACCAGTGGTTTTGCATGTTGCATACAAAGCAAGGTAAGAGTCAGCTTTCTAATGTTCTTATCATTCAAAAAAGCACATCAAACGCTGAATGAACAAATACCTGATACATCTTACACTATAGGGTGCTTTCAAAGTTTAAGTCGACAAGGTATAGTAGTTATTCACACTAAGTTATTCAAACTCTAAACATATGTTGAATACAATTTTGTATAAAAGTGTGCTGGATGTTTAAGTCCCTCCTTGAGAATTCTGAATCCTGTTGCTGCACAGTCAATGTTATTCAAACACACATGAGAAAGATCACTGAGAAGACTCTGTAAAAGGGTTACAAGAACTTGCTTTACATAACTATCTCACAAACCTTTTTATGATGTGATGATCCTGGTTGTTCTCCTCACTGGTGGAGGTTGTGTTGCAGGGCACAGTGACACCCTGTGGTCTGCAGGGGTCCTGCTGGATTGTGACACATTGAATGGTTCAGAGCTGACAAACACTTATTAGTTTACTGTAGGTTTTTTGATGTATTTCTCTATACTGTATGATGTCACAGCCGAGACAGAGACGCGTGCTGTTATGGAAATCATGGCGTGACGGGATCATAGTTTGTTGGTTTTGCCTGTCTGTCATAACTCCATTAGGAAAATCAGGTGTGATTTTGACTGTCAGTCAACTATTTCACAGGTCATTCATTAGTAACTGCAGAGAAGCTGCTGAACACACCTGGTAAGCTCTGTCTTCATAAGTCTTAAATGTAAACTTCTTTCTAATTGTATGATTTATTGACAGCGAAAAGTAACTGAAGATGGTTATTATCTAATCTTAATTTCAATGTTTACTATATACGCTATTATTTCGTTACAGAGACCAAACACTTTTTAAAATTGGAAAAAAATCCTGTAAAGTATCTTAATATACAAAAGTGCATTTTATCAAGTCTCTTGTAAAAATGTGTTAGTACATTGCTGTTATTCTTATGCTTTTTTTTACTGAAATGAAGGATAAAGTAAAAATGTTCTTTATTTGATTGCAATGATCTGCTTTATTTGGTCTTGTTCATGATAGTAAATACATTTTACTACTGTAAAAACGTTGTATTTATAAGCATTAAGAATGTTGTTCTCCCTATTTTGTTCCTTTTATTATTTTATGTTAAAAAATAAACACAGCCATTTTCAGTTTGTAACGTCCATCAGCAGCTTCTTTCTGATGTTTTTCTTTAGCTCTGGGAATATCTCTGGTGACATGGGGGGGCCCGTCAGCAATATCTCAGGTAATCATTTCCATCCAAATACATTATTTGGAAAATCACAGATTTCAATTTATATCACTATGGTTGTTTTATTTACTTCACATTTTTGTAAATGTATCACTTAATTATTTAGTCACAGGCTGCTGCCATTCCCAACTGGGTTTATTTCAAACCACTGCAGCAAAATGCACCTTAGAACCTGTACGTTTGAGCTTAACGTGCTAACACATTGAAGGAAACAATACTGCAATGTAAATCAGTTGATATTATGCATAGTCAATGTGTATCAGCCACAAGTTCATTTCAGTCAGACAACTCACGTGTTCCTTTAACATGTTTATTAGAAGCAGCATATAGTTGAGTTTGGCGACTAGGCTCGGGCATCATCACTCCATAGATATACATAGCACGATGAGTGATGATTAAATAACTAACCCCCGAGCCTACAGGTGGTGGTGGGGCAGCAAGCAGCAGCGACGTAGAGGTAGCTGCAGCATAGCAGCAGCAAGCAATGCATGGAGAGAGATCTGGCAGGTTCAATAGAGCGGGATATTAAGGAGACTCTGATTGGTTGGTTGTAGAGTGGCAAGGGGCGTTATGTATGAATGCAGCATAAGTGCTCGAGTTGACTGCCTGAACTAGCTCGCAGGCTTCGCCCCATTAGATTATTCAGTTTCTAAAGGTTCAGTGCAAAAGGGATGGTGGGATTTGGATAGTTTAAAAGTCTAGGATGAAGATAATACGGCCACAAATCAAATCAATGTCAAGCTTTACAGGCCCAAAAATGGCATTGCATTCATATTTATTTGGTTAAATTTGTTTTATAATTTATCCGATTGAACTCTATTTCCTTTGTAAACCATGTCCAGTGTTCTATATGAATACATATTTGGTACATAAATCATTTTGTTGGTTGAACAGATACAGATAATGTCGTCCTTGTATACCTCTGGTCACAGGTAACTCCACCAAAGATGACTTCCCCTGTGTGCTCAGAGAATTTCATCTCGTGCTTCTCAGTCTGATCGACATCGTGTGTCTTCTCATTGGACAGCCAGTGATCGTCAAACTTCTGTGGGTCACCTTCACATCCAGGAAGACTACCTCCATCCTAAACTGTAATTTAGCTCTCTTCCACAACATGCAGTACCTGATTTCCATCTTGCATTTATGTGTCCTTCATTTTCTGCCAAAACAGCATCAATCCGTCCTCTATTTTTTGTTTGTGTATGTACTAATCGGAGGGCCAATGACTTTGACTTTTATTTGCCTGGAGAGGTATGTTGCTGTCATTCACCCCACATCTTATCCTCTGCTCAAGAGGTACAGATACAGGGAGATTTGTTCCGCCACAGTGTGGTGGTTTTCTGTGCCCACTGCTCTGGCCAGAGTTTTCTCTTTAAATAATGTCTTCCATTCCAAAGACGAAGTTATAGAAATGATTCCTTACGTTGTGATGATGGTGATGATTCCAATAATAGTGTGGTGCAGCTGCCACACTGTGAATGTGCTGAGGAGGTCCGGTCCGGGGAGAGACCAGCTCCATCCGGCCAAGAAGAGAGCCTTTAAAACGATCTGTGCCACTTCCTCCATCGCCCTGTTCTTTTACATTGTAGTTACTTCAATGCAATGGTATAAGACGGTTAATGAAGGAAACTATCATTGTATAGTTATGCCTATATGTTTAGTGTTGCTGTCTGCTGCGAGTGTTGTGCATCCAGTGTTTTATCTCCACACTCAAAGGAAGCTGTTTCCCTTCTTTAAGTGTGAACAGAAAGCCACTTGATTTTCATTTCATCTTGACCTCAAACAGGCTGATATACCTGCATGCAACTCATCTGTATTCTTAAAAAAAAATAAACTTTTGATTGAAGACATCATCTAATAGACTTTTAAAGAGGACATTATGCTCATTTTCAGTTTCATATTTTGTATTTAGTTCACACAGGTCTTTTTATTTCCTCATACTGCCTGTGCTGCAGCATCTCTTTTCACCCTCTGTGTGAAACCAGAGCCCAGTCTGCTCTGCTTGGTTAGCTGGCCGGCTCTGCCCCTTAGCCTATCACGTACAATGTCTTGGAGCGCTAGCCAATAGAAGCGCAAGTGATTAATAGTTATGTCATTATGTTACGTAAGTAAACAAAGGAGTCCAATGGAGGCGTTTCAGGCGACCCCCCAGGAAGAGCGCCAAAGCAAATGTAGCACTCTTCTGTAACGCAATTTGGGCCCAAAAAGACTTTCACAGTGAAGAGACCACTGTTAATCAATATATTAATTTGATAGCTAAATGAACTTCCCAGAACACTTTTACAGCCCTTATTTTAAATGATTAGGGTCTAAAGGTTTGTTAAATGATACGAGAGAGCGAGATCAGAGGCTGTACTTCAGAAATATGATTGGATATCCTTTTTGAAATCTACAGTCGCACCATTTTGAGCTTCACGCGCCACAGAGCAACTCTTATAGGAATGAACGAGGCACCGCCTATGTCGCTGTATACAGGTTTTTTTATATATATATATTCATAGTTTTAGGCAGGGGGATAGTGTGTGGGGGAGAAACTTAGACTCTTCTTTATTTGAATATACTAAATATGCTGATCATTGTGTCTGTCTTCATACCTTTGTATACCGTCAATCTGTGTGTGGGCTGTTTGTCATGTTTTGGCCACAAGAAAACACTAAGGGTAGACACGGGCTGCCACCTGACTATTTAACAATGTGTGTTTTCCATGTAATCCACCAAAATATGATCCATTTATACCTTATTGTACTTAATAATAATCTTTAGGAAGAAAAAAAGAAAAACATGTTGTGATACCTGATTGTCCAGTTTGTGTAAGTATTTTAGTAATGTTGAAATGATATATTTATACTGTTTTGTCGTCTCAATAAATATGATTAAAGCACATGTAGAAAAAAACAATAATGTGCCTGCTTGATTATTATCCTTTGTTTCAATATATGTCTTTTTTGTTGTTGTTATTGTACCAGATGTTTTGTAACAGATATTGTTAATTTTGATCGCACTGCCCGGTTGACCAGAAAACGGAAATGACACTTTAGACTAAATAAACTGTCAGTCCATATGCTCGAAAAATAAGACCAGTACATACAAATGAGTATAATGTAAAGCTTGGAATAGCAATTATGCTTCTATGTTTTTATTAAAAGTTTTCTTAAAAACTAAAATTGAGAATTTCCCCATGCTTATTTCTTAATTCAATGTGATCAATTCTAGAACTACTACAAGTATTCCTATTTTATTGTTTTCTATGTATTTTACTCCACTAGATTTCAGAGGCAGAAAGTACTTGTTTCTCCATTACATTTGTCTAATAGCTTTAGTTACTTTACAAAATACAAAACATTGTCTTCCACTTCCTGTCCAATGTTTTTTCAGATTGGGTAAGTTATACGTTTAGTTATTTAAGTTGTATTTAGTACATTTTTACACTTTATTTACATGAAGTTGAAGGCATATTATTAGGGTTTGAAAGCAAGACTACGACTTGAAAGTGAGTATCTTTAGTACATCTGCAAATGTTTCCTCTTGTCTACGGCAGCATAATCAAGGCATAACTAATTTATGGTTGCTTTGCATGCGTCAGCCACAGTACTTAAATGGGAAATTCAGATGTTTCAAAGTAGGTCAATCATGTTAATAAAAAGGAAAAAAAAGCGTTTAGAGATTGCCTCCATTGAGTATCTTGGATCCAATAAGGATGTGTCTTTACCGAATCCGCCTCCAGTCGCTTCTCATCACTTCTTCATTCAGGGGCATTTTGTGTTGCATGGCTCCCCTGATGAGAAGAAGTTGTACACGTTGACCACTGGAATCATGGTGACAGCCCCCAGCAGAGAGCCCAGCTGCACCCCCGCTCCACACCACACCAGGGCGCTGTGGCCCTCGTCACGCAGGATCACACCGATGATCACCTTCACATAGGACAGAGTGAGGATAAACAGGATCCAGGCCAACACCTGTGGAGGGAAAATAGAGGTGAGTTAGAAACCTAAGAAATACTCTTTGTATGCCCATGTGGTTTCTTAGTTAGATTCACACACAAGTTAAAGCAGCGTGACTCACCATGATGACCCCCCCTGAGGTTTCATTAACCAGCAGTGGGCATGGGCTCAGCACTGCCATGGCTATTATATACACTCCAACTCCACTTCCTGTCACTGTGAGCGCTCCCATCAACAGCAGGGATCTGAAACCACACGTTGGAAATGTTATGAAATGTCACAGATCTAAATTAAAAAAGGACAAGCTTATTGTCTTAAAATGGTTTTTTTAAAAAGTTGAAATAATAACAATTACTGTCTTTAAAAAAAATTAAGATAGGGTTTGACGTGTAGAGCTGAACATTATTAGTAGCCTATCAAGTGGAAAATATTTTGATAATTTATCAATCGTTTTATTTATTTATTTAATCGTTTATTTGGCAGGGACAATGCACAGTAATGAACACTTAAAACATTCAAATGTATCAAGCGTAATAGTGCCAGATTTAGCTTTGAGTTAGTTTCCATCCGCAGTCCCTCACATGAGTTATTTAGTAAGAAATATTTGCAATTTCCTGCTTTTTAGATATACTGTCTTTTGGGTTTTAGACTATTGGCTGTACATTGGGCTCACGGAACCTGTGCAAAACTATTCATTGATTAACAAAACAAATATATATAAAGGCAGGTTAATCAATGATCATCAATACAAATAGTTAAAGTTCAAATGAATGTTGTCAGAGAATTACATATTATTCATTTTTTCACCTTCTCATCCAAACAATTGAATTATTCTATCGGGTTGTGTACACAAAGTCTGCTATCATTTATTTGTACATGACTTTTCTTAATACCAGAGATCTGACCAACGCTATGACAATATTTCAGTCTTTTTTCAATAACAATCTGTTTCCTTGGTACGGAACACATTTTTCAAATAAAAATATAATCCATTATATGCATTTTGCACTGAAACCTTATTAAATATATCTTATACATATAATCACATACATTTAAAAAAAAAATCATATTAAAGTTGAACACAGTATGTCCACATTTAAACAAATTTAAAAAACATATATAGTGGGGCAAAAAAGTATTTAGTCAGCCACCAATTGTGCAAGTTCTCCCACTTAAAAAGATGAGAGGCCTGTAATTTTCATCCTAGGTACACTTCAACTATGAGAGACAAAATGAGAAAAACAAAAATCCAGAAAATCACATTGTCTGATTTTTAAAGAATTTATTTGCAAATTATGGTGGAAAATAAGTATTTGGTCAATAACAAAAGTTCATCTCAATACTTTGTTATATATCCTGTAATGGCAATTTCCTGTTTCTATGTCCAATATATTTTTGTCATTACGTCACAGAAGGGCTGAAGAGTGATCCAGACGCAGACACAAACAGATGAGTTTCCGGTCCTTTGTTGCAGTTTATAATGATGTTTATTCAGCGTTTACATACCAGGGTTTAATTGTACAGTTTTAGTTGTTGTGATGAGCATCTGCCGGGCTGGTGGAATCGGTATGCTCTCTTCCTTCTGTGTCCTGCCCTCTCCTGTCACCTATGACCTCTTTATATACACCCGGTGCAGCTAAACCCCGCCACCAAGTGTTCCAAATAATATTGCACTATACATATAACTTAAATAAACTGACACACCAACAACACCCATAAAATGGCTCCTACATATACTTTGTTGGCAATGACAGAGGTCAAACGTTTTCTGTAAGTCTTCACAAGGTATTCACACACTGTTGCTGGTATTTTGGCCCATTCCTCCATGCAGATCTCCTCTAGAGCAGTGATGTTTTGGGGCTGTCGCTGGGCAACACGGACTTTCAACTCCCTCCAAAGATTTTCTATGGGGTTGAGATCTGGAGACTGGCTAGGCCACTCCAGGACCTTGAAATCCTTCTTACGAAGCCACTCCTTCGTTGCCCGGGCGGTGTGTTTGGGATCATTGTCATGCTGAAAGACCCAGCCACATTTCATCTTCAATGCCCTTGCTGATGGAAGGAGGTTGTCACTCAAAATCTCACGATACATGGCCCCATTCATTCTTTCCTTTACACCAGGGGTATTCAACTAAAATTCAACGAGGTCCAGTTAGAGAAAATCTCCCCATGCAAAGGTCCGGAACATCAACATGTCTAAGTTGCTTTATGAATTAGTGTGATATAGGGGTGTAACGGTACACGTACCCGTACCGAAATTATTCGGTACGGGCCCTTCGGTTCGGTACAAGTGTGTACCGAAGTGTACCGAACGAATATAACGTTAAACGTAAAAAATTGAGAACGTGAACAACTTTTTGGAAATAATCTCAGGTGCTGCGTCGCAGCATTCAGAGTAATTTGGTCACATTGGGTTCAACGCGTCATAGAGCGAGCAAGTCATTTCATTGGATGAGAGGCATACTATGAGAGCTGGTCAGAGGGATGCGTTCAAATGTAGTCAGTAATTTGAGGAACTGTCGAAAATTAATGGCGAACGCAGATAAAGTTGAGCTCGAAAATCCTCCAGCATCATTGAAGTCTCCGGTTTGGGAACATTTTGGTTTCGCAGTTACGTACAAGAATGAAGGACAAAGACAGGTGGCCCGAACCAAAGCTGTTTGTCGGCATTGTTCAACTTACTAAAATTGGTTACGTGGCTGGCAATACATCAAACTTGCACACTCTTGAAAAGGCATCACCCGAACGTGAATATCACCGGTACCAAAAGAAAAAAGACTGAAGTGCAAACCCAACTCCCGCTAGCATGTAAGCCTCCACCACTCGCAGAGAGTTCAGACCGAGCCAAAGCTATTACAAATGCCAAATATCCTTATGTTGCCATGTTAGCAAAGCGCTACCTGGCTGTATCTGCTACCTCTGTCCCTAGAGAGGGTGTTCTCCACAGCAGGAGACATTGTTAGTGCCAGCAGATCTGCCCTTTCGGCAGCAATGTGGACAAGTTCATCTTTCTTTAAACAACATGAAAATACAATGACAAGCAAGTCATAATGTCAAACTGGCTGCTTAGGTGCTAGTACAGTACAGTTCAAATACAGATTATTTCAGTTCATCGAAAAGCTGCACCTTAATGTTTATTTTATTATATTTTGTATTTATTTGAGTGAATACATTATTCACAGTTTAATAATAATAAAAAATATATATATATATATGTTTTGTTTTGTGAAAAAAAATGCTGCTGTACCGAAAACGTACCGAACCGAACCGTGACCAAAAAACCGAGGTACGTACCGAACCGAAATGTTTGTGAACCGTTACACCCCTAGTGTGATATATATTGAAGTAGCCTGTAGTTTTATCAACGTCTGCATGTAATCAACAACTGACTGCCAATCAAATAAAGAAAGTACAATTAAAAAAACAACTATTTATTGTACATGTACTGGCTTAAGCAGGGGGACACGTCTGGCACTGCAGGATTTGAGTCCCTGGCGGCGTAGTGTTGTACTGATGGTAGCCTTTGTTACTTTGGTCCCAGCTCTCTGCAGGTCATTGACCAGGTCCCCCGTGTGGTTCTGGGATTTTTGCTCACCGTTCTTGTGATCATTTTGACTCCACGGGGTGAGATCTTGCGTGGAGCCCCAGATCGAGGGAGATTATCAGTGGTCTTGTATGTCTTCCATTTTCTAATAATTGCTCCCACAGTTGATTTCTTCACACCAAGCTGCTTACCTATTGCAGATTCAGTCTTCCCAGCCTGGTGCAGGTCTACAATTTAGTTTCTGGTGTCCTTTGACAGCTCTTTGGTCTTGGCCATAGTGGAGTTTGGAGTGTGACTGTTTGAGGTTGTGGACAGGTGTCTTTTATACTGATAACGAGTTCAAACAGGTGCCATTAATACAGTTAACGAGTGGAGGACAGAGGAGGCTCTTAAAGAAGAAGTTACAGGTCTGTGAGAGCCAGAAATCTTGTTTGTTTGTAGGTGACCAAATACTTATTTTACCGAGGAATTTACCAATTAATTCATTAAAAATCCTACAATGTGATTTCCTGGATTCTTTCCCCCCATCCTGTCTCTCATAGTTGAAGTGTACCTAGGATGAAAATTACAGGCCTCTCATCTTTTTAAGTGGCAGAACATACACAATTGGTGGCTGACTAAATACTTTTTTGCCCCACTGTATAATATAAACATCAAGTATTTTTGCTATTTTGAGTACTTTCTTTGAAATACAAACAGTGTAAAAGCTGTCCAGATTGAAAACAAAAGACAATTTTGTGATTTTGAGCAATGTAATGGATTTATTTGGTTTATTTATTTTTTTAAGTATGAAAGAGCACACTGACCTTATAGGGAAGAACATTGCGATCAAGCAAGCCAGAGGGTTTGCCACAGCAGCCATGGTGGCAGACAGGTGATAGGCGTTGTTCCCGTATGGCAGGCAGGAGTAGGACTGCACCGAGGGGAGCACCACGTTGGTCAGAGCGTTGACCCAGGCCAGGACCACAAAGATATAAACCACCTGCGCCCAGCTGTAGGACCCTGCCCCGAAGCCGCTCCTGCGCTTCGTGTTTTCAGGTCTCAATGGATCCATCATGGGCTTCTCCTCCACCCACTTCCTGTTCCTCTGAGATTTCTCCTTCACTCGACCATTGGGGTGCTCCCTGGCCACAGATGGGTGGTAGTTTAGCATCAGGAACGCCAGCAGGCACACCAGCATCATGGCACTGAGGAAGAAGAAAAACACCTCCGCTGAGAAGTTAGCTGGCTGGTACTCGGCCCGGAGGTCAAGGGTCACAGAGCTGGAGGAGTTCACGGTGTGGTTCAGAGACTGAGTGCTGTTTATGCAGTGGACCACTCCCACCCCCTGGATCAGAGCCACCAGAGCAGGCAGCAGGCCGCTCACCCCCTCCCCGATGTAGTACGTGGTCAGGTACTGAGTCTTCAGGCGCATCATGAAGGGCAGGAAGGTGACGGAGGAAGTGCAGTCTACAGTCGCCAGGAAGAAAGTCAGGACCAGGAGGGCTACACTGCGAGAAACCCCTCCCACAACGACGGTCTCCTTCCAGAAGAATCCCATCAGGAAGGTCGCCACGGTGCCCACCCCGATGATCAGATATATGACGGCTGCTTCGTTCAGGGCGCCGGGCCGGAAGCGGTGCATCAGGGTGACGAAGAGAGGCCCGATGTTGGCCATCTGGATGAGGACGGAGAGGTACGAGGGCAGGTACCAACCCTCCGGGATCTGGGGCACGATCAGGGGCAGCTCCACCCACAGGCCGTTGATGGAGACCCAGGAGCCCATCCCGAACAAACACGCCAACAGGTGTGTGAGGAGGGACATGTTGGAGGTGTGTTACTGAGAGGAAGGAAATGCAACATTTCACATTAGTTTCACCCCAAACGTGTTAATCAAATGACTCGAGTCACATGACTTGACTCGAGTCCGACTCGAGTCACATATTTTTGGACTTGAAACTTGCTTGACTAACATTGATAAAAGACTTGACTTGACTTTGACTTGGTATTCATGACTTGAGACTTGACTTAAGCTTGAGACAGATGACTTGAAAGGACTTGACTTTTTAAAAATTAAATATTTGCGTTTGTTTTTGTATTGAGATATTACGTTTAGTTTTTTGGAATGTGATTGGGTGATTATAGCGACATGCGCACAAACCTGACAACCCACTAGACGGCAGGAGTGTCAGTTAACATGGCAGCGGCTAGCGTTACTCCAAAAATAGTGAAGTTTGGATTCAAGGATTATGTTGTCGATGACGCTAATAAGAAGAGAACAGCGGTATGCAGGGTCTGCAGCATAAAGATCAGGCGACCACCACAACATCCAACTTCATTCGTCACTACAACAAAACCCACAGAAAAAGGTACGTGCATGTGTTGTGTTAGCTAGATAGCTGACGTTAAGTTTAAGCTACGTTAGACTTGGTTTCAAATCGATTAAGCATTGCAAAGAGAAGACAAAACGGTAAATGAACACTAGACACCACCCAGGGCTTCATTTTGACTAACCTCGATTACTGACGGGCTGTCGAAGAGTGAGAGGAGAGAGAAATGAGAGAGAGAGAGAAGAAGAGAGAGCAGAAGTAGAGAGGATCGAAGAGAGAGAGATATAGAGAGCGACGAGAGTATAGAGAGAGAGAGCTAGTGCTTACTCGTAAGCTATCGCTCGCCTGCTATATATCATCTCGGATCTCTCTTCTTACTATGATCTCTCTCTATAGTCTCTCTCGCTCATCTTAGAGAGGATATCTCTCGAGAGAGGAGAGAGAGAGAGAGAGGCCTGTTATGTCCCCTGTTATTATTCAGAAGTTACTGTAATGTTGAATAATGTAGTTCATCTACTTTTAGTAGTTTGTTTAAATGTTTTAATTATGTTGTTTTTGTTTGTAGAAGTGCATCATTCCTTGATTTATTGTAAAATGAATCTGAACTTTTTTATCTGTTATGATGATAAACTGAAGCAATTTCTAAATTAAACCAATTAAGTGATTTTTAAATCGTTCTACTTAGTTTATAAGGAAATGATGAAGAGGAACAAATTAAATGATCTGAAAATGATATCTATGTAGGTGCTGACGCTGTTGGCGGTTCTAGTGTTAACATACATTTAAATTAAATATGTGTAATGGCAAATGCCATATATGATTTTCTTACCTGGAATTCTGCCTTTTTGAACAGACTTTTTGAGTCCTAGCTATATTGTCTGCAGTTCTAGGGTTAATATGAATCTAATATGATTGTCATCGGTCTAAATTAGATTTCAAATGATTAACTGTGTATGTAATGAAGATCATAGTGTGGGTTGAATCCATTTTCATAACCACTGTCTTGTAACTGATTTGAATGCGGAAACTGGGCTTATTCATCAGAATTTTGTATGACTTGACTTAGGGCTGCTCGATTATGGCAAAAATCATAATCTCGATTATTTGGGTCAATAATTGTAATTGCGATTATTAAATGTGATTATTCATTGACTTTGAAAACATCCATTTATTGGAGAGAAAAAAATGTGAACAGTATGTTTTTAATACTTGATTACCCTGAACTTTACGTATAATTCAAAAAATTATTTCAAAAAATTATAATAATAAAAAAATAGTCGTTTTATTTAGATTACGTTGTTTTCGTAATCGTTGCAAGCCATAATCGCGATCAAAATACGATTAATTGAGCAGCCCTAACTTGACTTGACTTGCTTGACTCTCATCAAAGTGACTTGGGACTTGCTTGATACTTGTAGGTCAAGACTTGAGACTTGCTCATGACTTGCACATGTAGGACTTACTCCCACCTCTGGTACTTGGTTTACTGCAGAATAATGTGTGGACCCATAACAATTGTCTTTCTCGTCACTAATGACCCTCTGAAAGTGTCTGTGGTGTCTTTCTCTGGGATTTCTCCTTTCATTTTGCTGTGCTAATATTTGCAATATTATCTTCTGGATTCTTTAAAGTGGACCTATCATGCTATATTTGAATAATATATTGTAGGGCCATACCTATATAAAACATGTCTGTGAAGTTTTTTTTTCAAAATACCAAACCGATCATGCATTTTAGCCAGGCCTCATTCCGCTCTATTTGGTCTATTCCAGCCCTGTCTTCACAAGGGCTGATTCTGTGGCAAATGAGCTGCAGCTGACCACGCCCCCCTGCAAAGGAGGGGGGGCGAGGCACGAGCGTCATGTTACCATGCTGTTACCATGCCACGCAACCTCTCATTCCCCTGATAGGTGGAGAGTTGGCCATATAGGCGGAGCTCCCCATTTCTGACGTCAGAACTATTTTAAATCTGTATCAGTCTGTATCAGATCCGTTGCAGCCCCGTTTTTAGAGATTTGGGTATGGAGGAAAAGAGAGAGGGTTGAGTTTTCTGACACTTGGTGAGTTCCCTGACACACCGGGGACACATATTCATGTATAAAAGACTTACAAAAGTGCATTTTGCATGATAGGTCCCCTTTAAGTAAGTTGAAGGAGAGTAACTGTATGTAACTGCACTTGTAATGTAATCAGTATTCTTTTTTTTATTGGTGCCTTTCATGTTCAGTTCAATGTTTAATTTCTTTAATAAAAGAGCATTTGATATTATACATTTTCATTTTGTTCCATTTCCCAAAGCAATTTATAATATTTGAGCTGTTTATGTGGTAAACTGGATGTTTATTTATATCAATATATTCATATTTTCAATTTTTACACGTTTAGCTTTAAGACTGTTTCTTTGCACAAACCCCATAGCTGCTAGCATGTCTTGCAAACAACAGACATTTTAGCTCAAGCTGAACATTGATATTCAGATAGTGTTTTATGCATTTTTGCTTTGTGTAAGGGTGCGGTGATCCCAAAAACAAAAATAAATATGACATGTCACTTATTTAGACGTGAGTTACATATATTCAGTACTGTGGGCAATCACCACAGGTTTAGGGTTTTAGGGGAAGTGTCTTGCCCAGGGACACAACAACATGCTGACTGCAGTGGGACTTGAACTTGCTCTCCCCTGACGCGAAGATCAGCGCTCTACCCCCTGAGCGCAGCCCTTCATGGATTAAATGTTGTTAATTAATCAATGTATGCATATTGTTTTGCTGTACTAACTATATGAACATTGCTTATTGTAGTACAGCTCAGGGTGTCAGTTTGTGGACCTCTAATTTGTGATTTCAGAAAAACATTCTGGTTTTAAAAAGGTAGGTTTTTTTGGCTTTTGAGCACCACAAACCAAATCCTGTAGCTTCTCATTTTATCGGCAATATCTGCAAATCACATCCAACAAATATGTATTGAAAGACGGTATTTTTGATTAATGCAAAAGTTGTTAGTAGTTTCATCCAAATATTTGGTTATGATAAAGATAAGCGACAGACGGCACGTGGTTAAGTATTTCAATGTCCTACGTGACAAATACACATTTTTGATTCACGCTTTGTTTAATACTGATGGTTAAACATTAAATATTTTTCTGGGTTAACTGTAAACCAACAAAGAATGACAAGGTCTTGAAATTATTAAAACGACATGATACAAAAGAGTTGCATATGTCAAAGGAAAACTCAGCATCGCAGATTAATGTGTTACCATGAGAAGCTTTAACACTCGTTAAAGTATGTATGTGATTCACTCCTGTAGTTGATTCATGTGTACTGTACTGTCTTGTCTCCTGGACGGCTTTTATGTTGTGCATTTCTCAGTTGCCACGTGAGCTTAACAGTGGTGAAAAGTAACTAAGTACATTGACTCAAGTACTGTACTTAAGCACAATTTAGATACTTGTACTTTACTTGAGTATTTCAATTGTTGTGCTACTTTGTACTTCAAATCACTTAATTTCTCTCCACTACATTTATTTAATACCTTTAGTTACTTATAAATATAATCAAGTGTTGAATCAGACTTTAGCTCCACCTGGAGTAAATTCACAAGCTACCCTGCAGTATACAAAGTCATTCAAACTAGCTGTACCTTTAGCAGCTTTGAGAACACTTTCATGATCAATCATTATAAAACATATCATATATATTATTCTGAAAAGGACCAATCTGCACAACGACTACTTCTGGTACTTAAAATATATTTTGATGATAATACTTATGTGCTTTTACTTGAGTAACATTTGCAATGCAGGACTTTTACTTGTAACAGAGTATACACTTTTACTGAAGTACTAGATGTGAGTACTTTTTCCATCTCTGTAGCTTGCTACACATGCTTAAGGTTTTACATGCAAAGTGCCAGATTTCTTGCAAGTTATGTTCAGTTGTTTTCATTTTTTCAGGGTATGTTAAGCCCGCTTGAAACACTAAGCATACAGCAAGAAACACCACCTATGGTAAATATGATATAATCTATGAAAACATCTGACTAGTGCATTGTTTATTGTGAAAGAAACTGCATGCTGTGAAGTTTTTGATCAACAATACACAGCTAGAAGAGTCCTCGAAGCTAAAATAATAAGAATTCTCAGTTTGATCTGGAAGCAGAGACATGGTTTTTAGCTAGTTATATAACAATATGAAGCTTATAAAATCTCTGTACATAGATTACAAAGTTTACCCTGTTGCACGAACACTACAGTATTATTAAATAAAATATTGGTATGCACCCCTGCAGATACTCACATGCTGTTTGGTGGAGAGACTTGAAGTTTTCTGCAGACGAGGAAGCCAAAGTCCTGTGCAGTATACTGTATGTGTGTGTGTGTGTGTGTGTGTGTGTGTGTGTGTGTGCGCGCTGAGGTTATTAAACCCTCCTTGGGGTTAGTGGGTGTGGGAGCATGTAGCCAACCATGACACATGTTTAGTTAACCGATCATTGTCTCAACCTAAAGTACCTTCACTTTTAGGATCATCAGAAGACATCACATGTTCTGATTGCCTCCACCAGTTTGCACTCTTCTCACCTTGAGGCAGTCGGCGAATGAGTGCGATGATTCAAGAATCTACAGAATTCCTGAGGGGATCATGGGAGCAGAGCTGAAAATGACCGGTTACACAACGACATGTTTCATCAGCTGATTCAAAGACAAGTTATTTTAAATCTCCATCCAATTATTTTCGATATAATAAAAGGATGTATATAACCTTATGTAATCATTACAATTATTGTTTTATTTACCAAAAGGATACTGATGATTACATTGATAATCTGAGGAATCAAGAAAGATAATAGTAATACAAATAATTATAATAACAATAATAATGCAATAATTATTGTTATATTTATAATTTAAATGTGTTTATGAAGCACTTTCTTTTACAGCAGTGCTCTTTAAAAAAGTGCAAACATGTATTACAGCAACACAAAACTAAAGCAGAAAGGACATAAGAAAAGTAAAAGGAATAGAGAATTACACTTATTCACTATATTAGATATTCATGGACAAAAAGATTTATATCACTTTTATTTTGTTCTTATTTATCTTAAAATCTATCTCTTTTCACCCTCTGTCTGAAACCAGAGCCCAGTCAGCTCTGATTGGTTAGCTGGCAGGCTCTGTAGTGATTGGTCAACCTCTTAGAGATGTGTCGAAAATGTCACTGTGTTACACAGTGATGTCACTGTGTTACACAGTGATGTCACTACTGGGATAGAATACCCGTGGAGGGAAAACAGAGATGTTGGCCCTTGCAGACCATTTACATGTTCAAAAACCTATAACAAATTAAGCAGAAGTTTTCCTTTAATATTACAATATTGTTTTGTTTACCTAATATATACTTTATTTTCATATATATATAGTAAAATACATATTTATTCTCTAATTTTATAAATGGATACTAGTCCAATATTCTTCAACAGATCTGCAATTTTCATGTGACTTTGAAAGCTCACCTACACAGAATGTGTAGTCGGAAGAATTAGTCAGCCATTTGCCATAGTTCATTTGAAGTAATTTTTTAGGGTCTTTGGGATCCAATAACATAATTATAATCCCATTAGCATCCGGAAATTGATAGGTAAACTAAAAGGGCTTGATAAAGCAGTTTTTTTTTTTTTTTAAACCAACAGTCAGCGAGTCCCAAAATCTGAAACAAGACCCCTGTTTTAACCTGTTTAGCCCGAGAGCCCCCGGTAGAGGGCTGCAGGTTTTTTTTCTCACGAAACTGTGTCTCAGGGCTTCTTAATATTTAAAAAAAAAAAACTATTAATGTGTCATACCAGATTAACGGGAAGAAACTCAACTAACTGACGATACGAACCATTTTTACCAAAACAAAACACCAGTCTCATAAGAAGCGTCTAAATGACCCCTGAGCGAACAAATGCTAACGCACTTGGCACAGAACTCAAGGTAAAGATACCCTTATTACTTATCGTAACTGCACATACAAGATATCCGATTAAAACTGAGATTCCACAGATTATATAGGTATTAGTATCATCATTGAGCGATCAGAACAGAACAGACATCACAACACGTAGCATTACGGAGCAAACACGGGAGATCGTCTCACCTTAGCTGTTATTCTGATCAAAAGTCGTGTTCAATGGCATCAAAACGATAAAACGCTGCTGAGGGTTAATCCATAGGTTAATCCAATGTGTCTGTCACCAGCCTTGGTGTTGGGAACAGGGGGTCACAGGTTCAAACCCCACTGCAGTCAGCATGTCGTTGTGTCCTTGGGCAAGACACTTCACCCCAAATTGCTCCTGTGGGCCAACCCAGTCTCACAAAAAATGTAATAACTACGTAGGACGTAGTATTTCTACAAAAACGCCTCTGAAATTGTAAGATCCCTACGTTTTTTTTCACCATTCATTCCAATGGCTGGCGTCTATGTCACGTGATCTTCAAATTTCTCCCTGCAGAAAAAAAAAACATGGCCGAACTTCGTTTTATTCTCGGTGGAAAATGCCTATTTTAAAGTTAGTTTGGCCATTAAAATGCGTTTTGATGTCATTTGGTGCGAGAAATATGAGTTGTTATTTCAGATTATGTGTGCAGTGGATGTACATGATGTTTAGTTTGCTAGTTATTACGAAGATTACTTCAGGAAATTGGAGAGACAGCAAGCGCATTTCGTGGCATCTGCAGGCAGTGGCAAGTCCTTCCGGCATATGCCACAGAGGCCGCTACTCTGTGGTAGCTGTGGCAAGTCCTTCCGGCATATGCCACAGATGCCACAACTTGCCGAGGCATCTGCCGCTGCTCAACGGGAGTTGCCACAAGATGCCAGAGTAACGGCCCCTACACACGGCGGCGTGCGTTGCCGCTTCAACGCTTCTGCCCATTCACTTTGAATGGGGTGACGTCACGATTCGCCGAACTGCATTGTGGGAGCAAAGCGTAGCTTCTCTCGCGGTGCTCGCTGCAAAAGTAGAGCAATGTTCTACTTTTGACGCTTCGACGGAGGCGTTAGCCAATCGAATCATATGCCAGTACAAGCTCTAGCCAATCAAACCGCGTGCTTGGGTGTCTGGGGCGGGAGATTCATGTGATTGGTTGTTGGTCGAGTTTCAGACCCCCCCGCCGGCAAGCGATAACGCACGCCGCCGTGTGTAGGGGCCATAAGAGAACGTTTACGGTAGCTGCCACTCGCCTTCCGTGGCAAATGCTGCTATTTAAACCCGTATTTATCGTGTAAAATGTCGCTGTTTTGGCATGACTTTATCGAACTGATCTGTACACAGGACTGATGATCTGTTCACAGGACTGATGGTCCGATCTCTATTTTTTAAACATTATAATTTCTATTCAATTTTACTTGGAGCATGGTTTGCTAAAATAAACAAACGTGCTATATTTATGATGAAATATTGGCGAGTGAGGGTTGCAACGCCCTTGGCAATTTTCGCTTCTCGAGGGGAGTTTCCACTGCTTGCTACGATAAACCAGGTGTATGACTAGTAAAGACAAATAATTAACAAATACATATCTGTATTGACACAGCAATGTGTACACTGGTGTTATTAGACTTGGCTACAGACTTAGGGCAGCTGTAACTGATTGCAGTTGCCACTGCTAGTGAGATGCTAAGGTTTACTTTATAAATTAGGCAAAGGACTTATATTTGCCCCATGCCTTCAGCAGCAGCAGGCCATTCACTTTGATTTGATCCAGTTATGAAATGTCATCATTTCGACAATAAATAAATGCTACATAAACGTTATCTTGCACGTTTTATCGAACCATCTCCGTTTCTAACTTTCATTATATTTAAAAAGAGATCTCTCTCTCATCTGCGTGCAGGGGCGGGGCCTCACAGACATGCTGCTGCGCTGTGCATACAGTTCTGCCGGTAATGAATATTAGGATACATTTTGTGAGGAAACTTTTCCACCAATAATTCCAATAAGTATTCCAAAATGTATTTACTTCAAGTTTACGAAAGTAACTGTATTCGGATTAGTTGTTTTTCAAATGTAACGCGAGCTGAATACAGTTAGGCTACTTGGTTTTTGTATTCTGATTACGTAACGCCGTTACATGTATTCAGTTACAACCCAACCCTGTGCACAGATCATCAGTCCTGTGTACAGATCAGTTTGATAAAGTCATGCCAAAACAGCGACATTTTACACGATAAATACGGGTGTAAATAGCAACATTTGCCACGGATGGCGAGTGGCAGCTACCGTAAACGTTCTCTTACTCTGGCATCTTGTGGCAACTCCCGTTGAGCAGCGGCAGATGCCTCGGCAAGTTGTGGCATCTGTGGCATATGCCGGAAGTACTTGCCACAGCTACCACAGAGTAGCGGCCTCTGTGGCATATGCCGGAAGTACTTGCCACAGCTACCACAGAGTAGCGGCCTCTGTGGCATATGCCGGAAGTACTTGCCACAGCTACCACAGAGTAGTGGCCTCTGTGGCATATGCCGGAAGGACTTGCCACTGCCTGCAGATGCCACGAAATTAGCCAGGCCCTACTGGGAAATTGTGTCCATACAACGTTTTCATTGTTACCAAGGTGGTTGCTAGGGACGCTGCTATCGATATTATTTCTGTTATGTTGTGTAACTGTTTAATAGTGTTATCTTTATTGCTACCCCCTTCCCCGTCAATGTATAGTGTTGGTCCACAGCGCAAACGTATTAGTTTAACAAAATCTGCATCTAAAATTGTGGCATATACGTTATTTTCCCCTGTGCAATTCGCCATTTACTCAACAGTAACACATAATTATCCTTGTGTTTATGTATTTGTTTGATTAATAAACCAACGTAGTTATTACAAGTTTTTTTTATGAGACTGGGTTGGGATTGTCCACAGTATTGAGTATGTAAATCGCTTTGGATAAAAGCGTCTAAGTGACAGGTAATGTAATGTAAAAATCGGATAATTAATATTAGCTGCTAATGGTAGCCACCAGAGTGTATCGCAGCATCTGGTTTTGGCTACGTTTCACTCTCACTCCTTCTTTGGTAATGTGTGTGTGCATGTGGAACCTCCCCTCGATTCCATTGGCTCTAGCGGTTAAAAATAAATGTCAATCATCAAAATCGACAAAGGGGGGCCAGAGATAGGTCAAATCCACCCAAATGACCCCAGAGGCCTACTACGAAGCTGGTTCAACCTAACCTGGATATGTTTGAGTTAGCCGGTTGGCCTAATCCAAAACATACGCCCTCGCTAAACTATACTACGATGCGGGTTATCAAGTGGATCGCTCAAGCCAGCCATGTCCTATCTAGTTAGGTGCGC